AATCCCTCTTGGACAAGGAGGAAAGCTGCCTTTCATGCATGGTCCGAAGTAAGTGAAGACGCTACAGCCGTAGGAACGGGTTTGGAGGACACCAGCTCCTTTACGGGAACGACCGGGTTCAAGAACGAAGGAAGCAGCGAGTGAAAGCCTCTCCCAGATGGCTTCTGATGCCAGATGGTCTCTGCGTCCCCCAACAGGAAGTCACTCTGGAAGGCCAGGACAGAGCGAGCCGTTAAGCCCCAGAGGGGGCCTTGAGGTGGGAGTCGCCCAGGCCCCCTGCCCTGGTCGTCTGGCCCCCTCCCTCCTGGTGACCGGCCCAGCACCCTCACCAGGGCTCCCCCAAGCATGTCGGTCATTTGTACCCCCACATCCGCTTATGCATAGCCCTGGGGAACCCCAGTTCAGGAGGGCCACAGCATCAGTGTGATGTGAAAAGACCAACTTGTGCCACTAGAGGGGGCTGCCCGACAGCAGCACCCAAACCAGAGAGGCCGGGGACCCACAGCCGGGTAGAGAGACACACGGGGGAGTGTGTGTGGGGGGGAGGGGGGTGGGTTTGCTCAAATTCGGGAAGATGGGGGGCAGGCCAGGATGGGCAGGATCCCAGACGCACCCCCCAGAAACTCTCCCGGGAGATGTGGCATCAGGCACCCCAAGGACAGGGTCTGGAGGGAAGGGGCTCAACGCTGCTCAAGCCCAGCTCTGACCATGAAACTCAGAACAGAAGCCATCCGGGACACCCAGTGACACCCAGTGATCGCAGCTGGGACGCCCAGCATCTGCACCTCTCTGGCCCCGCATCCACCCTCCAACCCTCAGCTTTCTACTCCACTCCCCGCACCCACACCCCAAGCCCATCACGCCGCTGCTGCTGCCCACAAGCACATGAGTGGCCACGGGGCAGTTCTCCCCTGCACACCGCACACACCTGCTCCCTGTCCCCCCACAACCGGGCCTCATCCAGCTGCCAAGCTGCCAAACCGCCCCAGCCCCGCAGAGCCTGGCGCTCGGCGCCTCCGACCCCCAGTGTGGCCAGCCTGGCGGGACCCCGCCCCCCACACCCCCCGCAAGCCTGACAGCAAAGCCACACTACCATGTAATCGGCCTGGACCCCAGGACGCTCCAGGGGGACAGCCAACACAGACGTGCCCCTCAACACTGTGGGCTGCACGGGGCATCCCCAGGTGCCACCGAGCTTGGGGGGTGCTCCCCACAGGCCAGCCCCGCTGGAACAGCTCAGAGAGATACCAGGGGCCACACAGGGGGGGTGGTCAGTGCTCAAAGGCACGATGGCCAGAACACAGCGAGACCGGGGAACGGGGAATGCAGGAACGAGGCCAGAACACAGACGTACCCAGCACCAGCGCCTGCAGTGAGTAAAAGGTTCTTTGCCACCAAAGGCAAGAAAGGAAGTGACTTTTTTTTCTTTCTCTCTCTTTTTTTTTTTTTTGCTGTTGCTGGGCTGGGATCACACCTGGCACTGCTGGGGGAGGGAGGGCACCGTGCTGGGGTGGGCAGAGAACTAGGGCGGAACCCCGAATCCACACAGGCAAGGCACGCGCCCTGCCCTGAGCCGCACTGTAAGTCCCCGGCTGGGCAGGTGGGAGTGTGGCCGGGGGCAGACAGGGCTCCGCTCATGCACCCTTGCAAGCTGAGGGCTCGGGCACATCCCATCGCCAAGACGAGGAGCCCGTGAGGACAAGCAAAGGAGCCAATGAGTTTTGGGGGAAAGAGAAAGTAAGCAGCGGCCCAGGGTAGGGGGGGGGGGGAGAAGGAGGGGGAGGCAGTGCAGGGTGTCTCGCTTCCCTTCCGTTGGTTTCGGTTCCCAGGGGCCCCTCTGTGAGCAGGGCGCAGGGCTGCGGGCACACAGGGCCTGGCTTCTTGGGGCCCTGGCACAAGTAAGTCAACACCCATGGGCACCACTGAGGCCCGAGGGGTTTAGGAACCCGGTGTCAGGGCTGTGTAAGCACTTGGGATTTTTCTGGCCCAAACAGAAGGACACGCTTGCGGCCACTCTACCCCGCAAAGCAGCAGCAAGGAGATAGTTGCCCCCCCCCCCAGCACAGCGGCTAAATCCCCGCACCCGTCTCTTTCCGGGAGAGGCAGGCTTGCAGCACCGGTCGCTGAACAATGCGAGGGCCCCTTCCCTTTTTGTCCGACTCCCTTTTAAATGCTCGCCAGTATTTGGGGAGAGGAGTTTCTGCAACGTTATGACCTCATAAACAAATCATGTGTGGAAGAGCAAAACCACATCCAGGGTCAAGTCAGAAGCAGAGCGAGCCTCTCGCCTCTCTTCAGAGCTTCCGGGCCCGGCGGCGCCGCCACCCAGGCCCAGACGACACAGAACTTTTCAAAGTGACGGGGCACACTGAAGAGCCGAGCGTTTCTAGAAAGAGGCATCTCCACACCAAGGACGCAAAGGTCTCGCCGACAGGACCCGACTCCCCCCGGGATGGCCCCCTCTGGCTCGGCGTTTTGATGGCGAGAAGGTGAGTGGTGTTTGTTCCTGTCCCAGTCGCCCAGGCACTGGCAGGAGGGCAATCAACCTTGTCCAAGCCGTAGTTTTACTTTAACTCATCAATAAGACCCTGTGGGACATGCGGTGGGTGACCGGGGGGCACCTCTGCTCACACAGTCTGACGGCGGGACCCTCTGCAGCATCGCCCTGCACGCAGGGGAAAGCCCACTTAGAAGGGGACACTGACGTGACCGATCGTCAGCCCACGGAGGAGTCCTTGTCATTGCTTCCAACGAGAGCGTTTTTGCAAAATGCACTTAGAGGCTGTGAAGGGAAGAAAGAGCCATGGGACGGAGAGCCGCTCACGAGAGCTGCCCCTTCTCAGAGCTCCGCCAACAAGGACCCGTGTGTGTGTCTATTCTGGGGATGCCCGAGATGCGGGCCCCGGGTTGTGTGTGAATTCTGCCCTGTGCCATCTGAATACAAGCATCGCTTATTCACTGCTGTTACAGCTGGGGCCCTGGGCTGAGGGGGTGGGGGTGGGGCCCAGGACAATCTCCCCAGAAATTATCTGCAAACATGTAGTTAATGGGACAAAACTGGGAGGATAGTGGTAAGGGGAGAAGGCAAGAGAAAAAAAAAGGGATGTAAAAATTCGCTGACGGCTGCTATTTGGAAATGCAGAGTTAGGGGCTGGAGTGAGCACACAGCAGGGAGGGTACCTGCCTAGCATGCAGCTGACCCCATTCATTCCCCGGCCTCCCGTGTGGCCCTCTGAGTCCCGCCAGGAGTGACCCCTGAGCGCAGAGCCAGGGGATATCTTTGAGCACAGCTGGGTGTAGCGACCCCACCACCCCCGGCCCTCCTCCCCCAAAAAAGAAATGGAGAGTGAAAAAGAGCCCAAACAGCGTCCTCTGCCTGTCCCCAGAGGCGGCATTTCTCTGTGCGCACCGTGAGGAACATGATAGTCTCATCTGTGTTGGAAAATCCCAAGTAAGGCCTGCTTTGAAATGCAGAGAATCCGACCCCCAAATCAAGCTGACTTAAAGGAATGGCTGAGGTGGGGGGGGGAGGGGAGCACAGAATCTGGCCCGTGAAATGCCCCAGCAAAGGTCGCTCCCGCTCCGGCTCCCCGGCTCCCCGGCCCATTCTCACTACTGATCGTCTGGGGCTGGTCTAAGCTGGCCCCCGGGGCCCAGTGACGCTTCTGGAGGAAACTTCAGACGCCTCCCACTCCCCCGGCCGCCACAAGCTTCCCCCCTTTGTAGTGCGTCTATTTTTATTCACTGCGTGGAGTGAGCATCACAGGCAAGTCCCACCCCCAGGGGTCGGTGGCCCCCAACAACCACAGCCAACACCCCCCGGGGTAGAAAAGGGTTTTTCTTTTTCCTCTTTTTTTTCTTCTTCTAAATTTTCCACAGTGCTGCCTGGAGACCCACACAACCCGTTCTGTGGGCAGAGCCTGGGGCTCCTACTGGGAGCACCAGACAGCAAGTCTCAGGGCCGGGATAACCCAGGAGAACAGAGCCAGGCATGAACCAGGGCCTGAACCGACACTAAGGGAGGAGAGGGAGGCCGTGTGCCCAAATGCCCGTCCCTGCCCTCGGCCAGCACGGCCCATAGGAACTGACCACTGGTCCCGACTCGGCCTGCGCTGGGCAGCTCCCAAGGAGAATTCCTGAGCAGCCAGTTCTGAGCTTCCCTTAACCGTGCTTCAAACGCAAAACTCCATCAGGACGCCCCGAATCCGGGCAGTGGGACGGCTGGGCAGAGTCGGGGGCCACTGGCTGCCCCCCCGGTACGCAGGAGTGCCAGAGAGGTGTGGGAGTGGACCCTCACTGCCACGGCCACCAGGGACAGCTTCAGTCCACTCCAGACTTGAAGTAACCAAACAGGGGTGAACTCTAACGGGCAAACCCCAGGGTCCCTCAGCCAGCTCGGCCCAGCCCCAGAAAGCTGCAGGGAGGGAGGGTGCTAGGGAGCAGGACCCAGAGACAAGGCTGGTCTCTGGCGGGGGTGGGGAGAGTGGGTATGGAGAGCGAAAGAGGAAACACATCAGCTGAACAGGTAAGTTAAGCAGCCGGTATCAGTACTGAGTGCTTCGTTTCCCGGGGCGGGGGGGGGGGGGGTAGGTGCTCTTGTGACAGTGCTCGGAGACTAAGACTTTCCTTGGCGGTACCCAGGGATGGAGCCTCACAGGCAAGGCAACAGCTCTACTACCTCCCCTAAGCCCAGCCCTGGGAAAGTCTTTTGTTCGTTTGTTTCTTCTTTTTGGGTCACACCCAGAGACGCTCCTGGTGCTGCACTCAAGAATTACTCCTTGGCGGTGCTGGGGACCATATGGGTTGCCGGGAATCAAACCCGGGTGGGCCGCGTGCAAGGCAAATGCCCGATCTGTGTGTGTGCTCTCTCTCTGTCTCCCCAGCAGAAACACCGAGACCCACCCAGCGACGCCTCCATCTGCAACACCCTCTCTAAGGTAAATCCCCCAGCAGGCCACTGCCCCGGGTGTGCAGGACACTCGTCGTCATCGTCTGGGCCCATGACGCTCCCTCACAACCAGTCTCAGGGGGGCCTGTCCCCCAGCCCCGAGTCTGACGAGTACCGGGTGGCCGCCCTGGTCTTCTACGGCTGCATCTTCGTCATCGGGCTGCTGGTCAACTCCACGGCCCTGTGGGTGTTCAGCTGCACCACCAAGAAGAGGACCACGGTGACCGTCTACATGATGAACGTGGCACTGCTGGACCTGGTCTTCATCGGCAGCCTGCCCTTCCGGATGGCCTCCCACGCCCAGGGCCGGTGGCCGTTCGGGCGGCCACTGTGCCACGCGCTGGGGGCACTCACGGTCCTCTACCCAAGCATCGCACTCTGGCTGCTGGCTCTCATCAGCGCCGACCGCTACATGGCCATCGTCCAGCCCCGCCACGCCAAGGAGCTGAAGAACACGTGCAAGGCGGCGCTGGCGTGCGCGGGCGTCTGGGCCATGACCCTGGCCATCACCGTGCCCCTCCAGCTGCTAGACGGCGGGGAGCCCGGCGGGGAGCCCAGCGCCGCCACGTGCCGGCAGCTGTCCGAGGCCGTCCACTCGCGGGCCAGCAACGCGCTCAACTTCACACGGCTGGTGCTCTTCTTCCTGACGCCCCTGAGCATCATGCTGGGCTGCTACCTGGTCATCGTGCACAGCCTCCTGCACGGGCGCACGTCGCGGCTGAAGCCCAAGGTCAAGGAGAAGTCCATCCGCATCATCGTCACGCTGGTGGCACAGGTGCTGCTGTGTTTCACGCCCTTCCACATCTGCATCGCCGTCCAGATGCTGGCGGGCGAGGAGGGCGACGGCCCGGGGCCCTGGGGCGCCTTCACCACCTTCCTCATGAACCTCAGCACCTGCCTGGACGTCATCTTGTACTACATCGTGTCCAAGCAGTTCCAGGCCCGCGTCATCAGCGTCATGCTGTACCGTAACTACCTCCGCAGCGTGCGCAGGAAGAGCGTCCGCTCCGGGAGCCTGAGGTCACTGAGCCACGTCAACAGCGAGATGCTCTGAACCGGGGTACCCTGGCCCTGGTCACGCCCCTGGCCCCGGTCCTGCCCCGGAGTCTAAATAACTCGCAACTTGCCCTTGAGTTCCCTACGGTCTGCTCAAGCCCCCATCTCCTGAAAAAAAAAAAAATGCACTCTGAGAACATGTTTGGGAAGGGGAGGGGGGGGGCGATCACGGTAATAGGGTGACAGGGTCTGAAGCAGTTGAATAAATATTAGTTTTGATCCATGTAGAAAACATTTGCAAGACTTCAATGATAGCCCATGTAAATAAAGTATTTGAATGATTTATGGGTCGGGGGGAGAATCCAACCACGATTTCACATTCCCACTATTTTAAATACATCACTGTCACTGTCACTGTCTTCCCGTTGTTCATCGATTTGCTCGAGCGGGCCCAGTAACGTCTCCATCGTGAGATTTCTTGTTACTGTGTTTGGCATATTGAATATGTCACGGGTGGCTTGCCAGGCTCTGCCGTGCGGGCGAGATACTCTCGGTAGCTTGCCGGGCTCTCCGAGAGGGGCGGAGGAATCGAACTCAGGTTGGCCATGTTGGCTGCGTGCAAGAGCAGCCCTACCGCTGTGCTAGAAGACTTTATCCCCCCCTAGTCATTTTAATTTTTATTTTAACGTAGAAGTCCTGCTATTTATTCAGTCATTGATTTAAGCTGATTGAACTGGACATGAACTCCACATTACTTTTTAAAAAAAAAAATTCTTATTGAATATCCATGAGATAGACTATTACACAACACTGTTCATGGTTGGGTTCCAGTCATACAATGATCCAGCACCCATCCCTCCATCAGTGTACATCTCCCACCATCCAACATTCTTCGTTTCCCTCCCACCACCCGCCACCCCCCCACCCAACCCCCAGCCTCCCTCTATGGGAGACACTTTCCTTCCTGCTCTCTCTTTCCTTTTGTGCATTATGGTTTGCAATACAAGTGATATGAGGTCAACACGTTTGTTCAGGGCTTTCACTATTTTTTATTGGGAAGATAAGACTGGAGAAGCTTTTTAACTGGGGGTGCTTTGGGTATGGATGTTACTGCTGAGGCTTCTGGAAGCACAGGAGGTGGGGGAAGGTAGCCCCTCCCAACCCCAAGAAAGCCTGGAGATTTCAGTCACGAAACCTGCATACCCAAATTTTCAGCAGATTATATCTTGGTGAGTTCTGTCCTCAGATGGTGGAGTACGGCTGGCGGCATAGCAGCAATTTTGGATTGTGGGAACAACTGGCTGCCAGGGGCTCTGCTTGGGTGGGCACCAGGCTGAGCCACCCCCCTCTGATTTACCCCAGTCTGTTCAGTCTTGTGCGGGTCCAAGATGAACTGTGGCTTTTGTTCTCTTTCAAGATTTATTTATGGGTCTCTGATGCAAAGCTGATAAATGAGCTTATGTGGTTGAGCCGGAGTTGGATTGTGGGCGTGGTTTCCACACACCTCACTTTTGGTGATTTCTCAGGAAACCTGGTCCTGAGTTGTTGGGGTCCGGTCAGAGGCACTGTGGCAATTTTGGGGTGTCAGGAAGCCTTGCAGGCACCATCAGGCTGCTGAGGCACTCGCCCCGTGGGTACAGGTTAAACTACTGGCGGCACCCCACCCCCGCCCAAAATTATTTCTATGTGCGAGTGATTCTTGCTGCCAAGCAAGTCAGGAGGCAAAAAAATTTACAATGCAGCTACTGTCAAACGCATTTCATTAAACACGTTCCAACTAGATGCAGCTCCCATTGGTTCAATTTACACTCGAGATTGCTGTTCTAAGGCCAATGCTACATGTCCTAAAAACACCAAAACTACAAGATTACTACTCAAATAATTTGTTCCACTCCTCATCTGTCCCTTGCTGAAGAGCAAACTGGAGGGAGCAGGCACACAGAGGGGTAGAGGGGAACAGGAGACCCTGCCTGCAGCCCAACCCACCTGCTTTCGGAAATTCAGGCGTTGAGCCCACATGTGCTAAGCGCTCACTCTGCACCCAACTCTACTTAAGCCCACACTGGAAACCTAGCCTGACACATTATTTCTCCTCAGTAGCCCAAGGACAGCTCATGAGACAAGGTGTCTGAGGTGAGGTGACAGGTCTTTCTGCAGGGGCTCACGGCTCCTACGTGATTACACATCGCATCACAGAGACAGACCGACATTTCCATGTCACATGTCACTGCATCCTTAGCCGAGTTAGAACCTCAGGATTCCAACCTGAGCCTCGCCATTCGGTTTCCCCTAGCACAGCCACAGACTAAGGAACTTCTCCATTTAAAAAGAAAAGGAAGTGAACTTATATCTGTAAAGCCCATATGACTCTAAATGGAAGTATATAACTGTTTCAACCAGAGCTTCCTGTCTCTGCTACATCACCCTGACTAGTCTTTACATGATCTTTTTTTTTCTTTTTTCTGTTTTTGTTTTTCTTTCTTTTTAGCTTTCAGGCCACACATGATGGTGATTAGACATTCTCTTGGCCAGGCTCAAGGGGAATGGACGGAGTGCCGGGGACTGAGCCCTGGTCAGCCACACGCAAGGCACTGTACCATACCTACCCATTGTACCATATCTCCAGCCCCGTGGTCATCTTCTAAGGAGGCTTAGAATCAAATAAGTCATTGGTTATAAAAAGAGGTCAACAGCTAACCTGGGAAAATTCACAGTCTTAAAAAAGAGAGACAGACGGACACCGGGGAACTGAATCAGAAAATAGCACTTTAGGTACTAGAGGATAATTAAATGATGATTCAGTTTAATTCCTGCACTTGAAAGAATTAAGCGAAAGAATAAAGATCCAAGGAATAAAGGAAAGGGATAAAGATCCAAAGAGGTTATGTGACTTGCTACATTAAAGAACCAGGACGTCATCCCAACTCCTCTGTTCAAGTCAATCGTCAGTTTTAATAAGCAGCAGCAGCTTCTCAGAACCATTCTCATAGCTATCCAAGATAAATGAATCGGGGTGCTACAAAGAAATCTTCTCTGAATGAGAAAAAAATTCTTGAGGTTTTCAGTTCGAAAGTGAGTGAGATGCTCTAGAGGCACAATCACTTCCAAAGCAGAAAAAACAACCCCTACATTTTTTTTTTTTGCTTTTTTTGGGTCACACCCAGCAATGCACAGGGGTTACTCCTGGCTCTGCACTCAGGAGTTACTCCTGACGGTGCTCAGGGGACCATATGGGATGCTGGGAATCGAACCCGGGTCGGCTGCGTGCAAGGCAGACGCCCTACCCGCTGTGCTATCTCTCCGGCCCCACAACCCCTACATTTGACGTGCCCATCTCTGGTGCGTGTGGAGTCGGGGCCTGCCGTCAACTTGGTAGGTCCAGCCGCTGATAGAAAATTTATTAAGCATCAACTTGTCTTTTCACTTGCTTTTCTTGGGGAAAGGAGTTAAATCTGAAAACACAAAGTCAACCAAGTGAACAAATGTGTCCGAGTTTCCACAACAGAACAACAGAACATCCAACATGCAGTTAAATATTATTTTTAGCATGTGGCGCGAATTTTCCAAGTTCTTCTTCTTCTGATAGGGGTGAGTCTGAAAGGCAGCGAGAGAGGTGTGCTGGGGGAAGGGGGCTGTATGCTCCTATAGTGCTCACGAGGACAGCAGGAAATGGCTGACCCATTCAGAGTAAGGTCATAGACATTTCAGACAGTTTGAAAAAAAAAATGATAGTGACCCTCTAAAAACCATCTGCCCATCTGCACCCCTGGGCAGATGTGCCATGCGACAGGCTGGGGTCATTAGATCCCCTTGGCCCAACGGGTACTTCGCTTTGTAAACCCAAAGGCAACAGTGACCTGAGCAGCTAAGCCAAGGCAGGAGAAAGAGGGATAAAGCAGAGACTTCCTCTTGGTCCAGGCAGTGAGCATGCCTGCACCGGTGGTGAAACCAGGTTGCCCCCGGCAGGCGCAGCACCAGGGGACACAGCACGACATTGTAATGATGCCAGAGGGACGCGGGGTCGTGTGTTGGGCGACACCATAGGTAGGCAGTCCTGCCCAAGGACAACCCGGAACGGAAAGAGAAGTCAGTGGGCAGGAAAACACCTGTCTGGGACCGTGGCCTGGAAGAGCTGGCCGGGGAGAGTCTGGAGCCCACCAAGAGGTTTCAGGGGAGGGGGAGCAAGGCTGTACGGGGAGGGGGGCGGACCACCATCACCCTGTTCTCCCATGTCCATAGAGGGCCCCAGACATGCAGAAGAGGAGGAGGAGGCAGAGGGGAGGAAGCCCCAGTTCCAGCCCGGAGCACTGGGGGCCCGTGGAAGGAGCCAGGTGCCACGGGGAGGGAAGACTGACCACGGGCTGCAGAGAGCCTGACTTAGGGATGGGAGGCCTTGACCTGTCAGGGAACTCACTGGAGAATTCCTACAGAAAATCAGGCAGGAGGGGGGCCGGAGCCATAGCATGCGGTCAACCCAGGTTCCACGCCCGGCATCCCATGTGGTCCCCTGAGCACCACCAGGACTGATCCCTGGGAGCAGAGCTAGAAGTGACCCCTAAGCATCACCACTTGGGACCAACACCCCCTTCCTCCCCCCCCCCAAAAAAAAATTGTGGAGGGCAGAGAGATCTGGGCTGTGATGGGAAAGAAGGATAATACCATGTGTGTGAAAAGCATTGCCAATAAAGAATGTTCAGGAAAACAGAGTCAGGGGCCAGAGCGACGGCACAGCGGGGAGGACGCCTGCTTTACAGCCGACCCCGAGTCTGATCCTCAGCCTCCCTTACAGTCCCCCGAGCAAGCCAGGAGCAACTCCTGAGTGCTGCCTGGTGTGGCTCAAAAACTAAAACAAAAACAACAAAAAAGAAAAGAAAGAAAAGCGGAGTCATTTCCTGAATTTCTGAGACTGTGAAACAAACCAGAAAAGCTTTTTATGTATTATACATACATTTATATAATTACAAAATTGGAGCGTTCATGTTCCGTGGCATGAATGTTTGAAGTTCCCGAATTCTAAAATTCCTCCCGCCACGTCTCACCATTTGAAAGAGAGGAGAAACCCGCTCTCGCTCGGCGATGGCTGAATCATCACTGCTAGCAGCTTTTCAAATGGGGATGTTAGAACTTGTGAGTTTATTTAAATCTGTAGCTCTTGCGACCGATTTAAACAGGCAAACACTTTCCGGCTCTAAGAATAAAAATGGGCCTACGACTTCCAAGTTAAATCAACCGACCTCTTAACATACGTAGAATTCCACAAAGAACTGTCATTTGTATAAACATGAAACTGTCATGAAAGTCTGTTGCCTTAACTCGGTCTGTTGCATTGCCATGAGACGGAAACCATGATAAATAAGAATTAAAAGTTATGTTGCTAACTGTGCCCCGAAGTGACTCAATCTCGATCCCATGACATGCTCGAAGCTTCCTGTCACTAGATAATTGAGACGTTTCTGGGGCAAAACACAGGGCCCTCCGAGCGGCTCCGGTGCTTCTCTGAACCCAAACAGCCATTTCTGACGAACTGCTATTTCCACCAGAGCAGAGCAGTCCCCTCAAACCTCTCCATCAAACTTCAAGTACAGCCAGGGAACACAAGGAAAACTGAGCGATAACCAGGATGAGCTTCAACTGTCCCCCCTCGGCACTGAGAGCCTTCCATCATCAGAGGCAGCTGACACACAGCCCTCGGCAAGAGTGTGGCCCGCTATTCAGCCCCAGGCCTATGCAACAGTGTAAGTAAGAAAATGATTAGATCACCATATTCTAAAGACAGGGCTCCAGAGTAAATCTGAATCACAGCAAAATCAATGACCTAACCGTCATCCTCAGAAACCTAGCAAAAGTAAGCCTGAAGTCAGTGCACACAGGATCTAAGAAATATTGATATTTCACAGTATATCATCGTCAACTGCAGACTCAGGCCATCAACTCAGAAACGCTTTAGGTCGTTTACTTGCATTCACTGCTCTTCTCCTTGGTGCTAACGATTTCAGGCACTAAATGGCTATTTTTTTGTTTTGTTTTCCCAAGGTGTACAGACCATGAAAGTGCTGGGCTAGGTTGCCTTGGAAAGTTGGCTACAAAGTGGCGAACTTATACACTTGACTTGCTGGACATAAAGCCAGATTTTATAAAAAAATCCTTGAAGCTGGGAATGTAGCCCAGGGCACACAGCACAGGACTCAGATATGTGAGGCCCTGGGTCAAGCTCCAGCACAGCAAAGAAATGAGAGGTTAAAAAACAAAATCATTCTTCTAAAACGTAATCTGAGGGCCTGAGAGATGGCTAAGTAGACTGGAGCACGGGGCAAACCTGGGTTCAAAGCCCAACTGCATGGTTCCCTGAGCACCACCAAGTGACCTTCGAGCACTGAGCCAGGAGGAGCCCCTGAGCTCTGTCAGGTGGGGGCCCCAAACCAAACCCACACACAAAAGGAAACCAAAACAAAAGCATAACTTCAAATTGGCTGTGTGTCCTAAGCAAGTCTATTTTGCACTCTGTGTGAATTCACAGTTCTAAACACACCTCACAAAATTATAAAGATATAACGATGATACAACACACAAATCAATCTTCAGAAACAGAACATGAAATTCACTGAAAAAATTCTCTAAAATACAGAAATTTCTAAGCCAAAACCCAAAAAGAAGAAGAAGAAGAAGAAGAAGAAGAAAAAAAGAAACCAAAGTAAAATAGACTGTTCCGAGTACATAATAAAAATGTAAACAGCATACACTGGATTCCTTCGAATTTGCTGAACCCATGTCATTTCATGAGATCTAAAATGTGTAAATTAATTTGACTGCTCAGCACAGACAGAAAGGCTTCGCTCAGATATGAGTTGCAAGCTAAGTGCATTGTGGAGAGCTACTCACAATCCAGAAGGCAAATTCCGGGCCGCAGTGATACCAAAGGAAAAACGCATGGCCTCGACGAGCAGGAAGTCCACGGCGGCCGACAGCACCCAGGAGCCCAGCAGGAAGGACTGAGAGGGAAATGGGGAGATTGTGAGGGGGGTGCTGGGAAGCCAGCACACGGACGGCAGCGGGTCAGCACCCGTCTCTGCACACCGTCCGAGTCTGGGGTTCTCGACAGACTTTTCAAAATGAGGAGCCCGTGGAACCATACTGTTCACAGGCATTTAAGACTGTCGAAAAGATGGCCTGCTTAGGACAACGACTTTTTTTTCTTTTCTTTTTTTTTTTTTTTGCTTTTTGGGTCACACTCAGCGAAACACAGGGGTTACTCCTGCATCATGCACTCAGGAATTACTCCTGGTGGCACTCGGGGGAACATATGGGATTCTGGGAATCGAACCTGGGTTGGCCGCATGCAAGGCAAACGTCCTACCCGCTATGCTATTGCTCCAGCCCCAGGACAATGTATTTCTTTATTTTGCCAGGCTCGAAATGCTTGGGGTTTACTCTTGACTCTGCACTCAGGAATCACATTCCTGGAGGTGCTCAGGGGACCATATGGGATGCTGGGGATTAAACCTGGGTCAGCCGCATGCAAGGCAAACACCCTCCCCACTGTACTATCGCTCCGACCCCCAGAATGATGTATTTTTAACAAGTGATAAATGATAGAGGTAAAATAAGTAATCAGAATTTCACTAAAGTCCAATTTAAAAAAATCCTTTTTTCAGATCCTTGATTAGGATTTTTAAAAAACCCTAATCAAGATTTTTTTTTACTAACCACACACTTGATAATATTAGATAATCATTATCACTTATTGTGGTAGTGGCTTTAACTTTTTTCTCTTTACCTGATAAAGCCCATTCTTCAAATCAGATACAGGATTATGTAATTCAAAGATAACTGCTAATAATTTAACAAAATAATAAGAATTTAACAAAAGCAGCAATAAAAAACCCTGCAAAATAAGAAAAATATTTTTCTATGATCTAAGTCACGGTCATGGTCCTCCTGTTGTTCATCGATTTACTAGAGTGGGCCCAGTAACGTCTCCACTGGACACTTTGTTGTTACTGTGTTTGGCATATCGAATACATCACGGGTAGCTTGCCAGGCTCTGCCATGTGGGCGAGACACTCTCGGTAGCTTGCCGGGCTCTCCGAGAGGGGCAGAGGAATCGAACTCGGGTCGGCCATGTTGGCTGCATGCAAGGCAAACGCCCTACCGCTGTGCTGTCTCTCCGGCCCTCTATGATCTAAGTAGCAAAGGAGAAAATACATAAAAACTTACTGCAAATTTCCTGCTCCCATATCTTCTTTCAAATATTCTGAAATTATAAATCAGCAGGCTGCTGCAGAAAGTATCTTTCAGATCAAGGCAAATGATTCTTCCACAGATCAACCTCCAAATCTGGGCAGGGATTGGAAAGAGAATAAGAAATGAGAGTACAATTTGTTTACATCTCCTCCTAACAAACTTACCATTTAGTTTATGCTGATTTTTTATACTCTAAACAAACCAATTCTGCATACACAAAAGGAAAGCTCAGATGTTTTTCCTCAGAAATGACTCAATGCTTTCATATTAAAAATCACATCCAGGGGCTGGAGCTATAGTACAGTGGGTTGGGCATTTGCCTTGCACACGGCCGACCTGGGTTCGATCCCCAGCATCCCATATGGTCCCCCGAGCATTGCCAGGAGTAATTCCTGAGTGCAGAGCCAGGAGTAACCCCTGAGCACCACTGGGTGTGACCCAAAAAGTTAAAAAAAAAAATCACATCCATATAATGGCTCAAAAAAAAAATTTTTTTTTTTTTTGCTTTTTTGGGTCGCACCCAGCGATGCACAGGGGTTATTCCTGGCTCTGCACTCAGGAGTTACTCCTGGTGGTGCTCAAGGGACCATATGGGATGCTGGGAATCGAACCCGGGTCGGCTGCATGCAAGGCAAACGCCCTACCTGCTGTGCTATCTCTCCAGCCCCCAGCTCAAAATTTTTTTTATCATATTACTTATTGTAAAATATTTATTATATTATTACAATAAAACTTTATTATTAAAACAATAGAAAAAAACCCTGTCAAATAATTTAGGATCAGGCTCACTAAAAAAAAAAAAAAGGACTCATATCACCTGAAGCCACATCCAGTGATGCTCAGGATTCACTCATGGCTGTCAGGACTCACTGCCATAATACTCAGGGGACCATTACGGGGTGCCCGGGATCAAACTGCACTCAAGCTACCATCTCTCTGACCCCAAATTTCAAACATTCAACATGATTGAAAATAAAAGGCTAACAGATAGGCAACATTCAACATGATTGAAAATAAAAGGCTAACAGATAGGCACTTTAATGCTACGGAATAAAACAAAATCACTGAAATTTAGCTATAAATCCAAAATTAGACCTGAGTTAAATTTTAATTTTCAGCCTACTAGAGTAGCAGCTATGTAACTACATAGGAAGCAGAATATGTCAACGACCACTAAACTGAGACTTATAATAACTGAACTGCTGGTTTATTTAAATCAGCTTCTAATTGGGTAAAAAACAGAAGGGGGCAGAAAGAGAAGGCGCCACTCGAAGGTCTAGCATTAAGTCTGTTTCAGATTTGAGGTTGTTTTTTTTTTTTTGGCGGGGGGGTGGCTTTGGGCCACGCTCAGTGGTACTCAGGGGTCCTCCCATCACTCCTGGTGGTGCTGGGAATCAAGGGTCAGTGGGATTCAGGCCAGGTGCCTTCACCCTTATCTCTCTGGCCCCTCTCAGACTGCTAATCAGAAGGGCATCTGCAGAACCTGCTGATGGGGTGTGTGTGCGAGAGAGAGAGAGAGAGAGAGAGAGAGAGAGAGAGAGAGAGAGAGAGAACAAACACTAAGCCCATCTCTCCACTCCTTGTTTGTATTTTAGTGAAGCACACACACAAACCAAAATTTGTTTCTGAAACTTCTTTTTTTTTGCTTTTTGGGTCATACCTGGTGTTGCACAGGGGTTACTCCTGGAATTCCTCCTGGCAGTGCTCGGGGGACCATATGGGATGCTGGGAATCGAACCCTGTCAGCCGCATGCAAGGCAAACGCCCTACCCTCTGTGCTATCACTCCAGCCCCCAACTTTTTTTGTTTTGAGGCCACACCCTGCGATGATGCTCAGGGGTTACTCCTGGCTCTGTGCTCAGGAGTTGGTCCTGACGGTGCTGGGAGGGTCCTATGGGATGCCGGGGGTGGCACCCAGGCGAGCTGCGGCCAAGGCGAGAGCCCTTCCTGCTGAGTTCTCTCTCCACCCTGCTGTGGTAACTCTCTCGGAGGTGCTGCACTCTGGGCTGGGCCAGAACCTTTGAAACAAAAGGTCCGCGCTCACAGCCAGGGCTGAGCTCTCCGGCAGAACTGTCCACCCCCGCCTCCTCCATCCCGGTCCATCTGTCTCCGCTCAGCCGTGGGATCTGCCTATTTTCGGTAGCTCCGAATGATGTAAGCGGCATCACTCAGCATCGGGCCTTCTGCCCCGGCTTCCTGGCTTCGCCGCAGGTACAGCTCTCGCCGAGAGGCTGAAGCTCGCACCCTGGCTTCCTTCCTTGCCACAGTGAAATTATACCCCGCTGACTGTCGACACGGCCTTTAGGATCTGTCCACCTGCCCATGGGCACCTGGATGGCTCTGAGTGTCCCCATGGGCTCCATCCCCGGGGTAGGAAGGGACAGGCAGCCCTAGTGGCCACCCTCCTGCCTCCATGTATGGCCCAGGAGCACCGCCAGGGGTCACCCCCAGGCACCACGCCAACACCAGCTTCTGTGCTGAGGAACACCAGTGACCACACTCATGGACCCGAGTGACCATGCTGGGACAGGCAGCGAGTAGTGGTGCCAGGGCTGACCACGGCAGAGCTTTACCTGGAGGTCATCCTTGACGGCCTGGAGGTCATACACGAAGAACCGCTGGCAGTGAGGCACGAGCAGGGCCAGCAGGAGGGACAGGGTGCTGGGCACCAGCAGGAGGCTCTTGGACAGCGGGGCCTTGTCTGGAAGGAGAAAGACAGAGTGCTTCAGGAGTGACCGTCACCCTCAGAAACGCCTCGTAGGAGCCGGGGCGAGAGCACAGCGGGGAAGGCGCCGGTCTTGCACATGGCCCACTGGGGCTCAATCCCCGGCACCCCACAGGGTCCCCTGAGCACCGCCACAAGTCACTGCTGAGTGCAGAGCCAGAAGTGAACCCTGAGCATCGCCTGGTGTGACCCCAGAACGAAACCCCCTCTCCCCAAAAAAACCGTATCTGTGAAGAGAATTCACTTATTAGCAACAGAACCAAGACTCAGTTTGCAAAATTTGGCATTTACTTTTTTTTCCTTTTTTTCTTTTTTCGTCGGGCTGGAGCAATAGCACAGAGGTAGGGTGTTTGCCTTGCGCACAACCAGCCTGGCCAAGCTGGGTTTGATTCCTCAGCCCCTCTCAAAGATCCTGGCATGCTACTGAGAGTATCCTACCCACACAGCTAAGCCTGGCAAGCTCCCCGTGACGTGTTCGATATGCCAGACACAGTAACAACAAGTCTCAAAATGGAGATGTTACTGGGCCCGCTCAAGCAAATCGATGAACAATGGGAGGACAGTGTTTGTTTTTTGTTTCTGTTTTCTTTTTTGGGTCACACCGGCAATGTTCAGGGGGTTACTCCTGGCTCTTGCACTCAGGAATTACTCCTGGCGGTGCTCGGGGGACCATATGGGATGCTGGGGATTGAACCTGGGTCAGCCACATGCAAGGAAAATGCCCTACTCACTGTGCTATTGCTCCAGCCTCTTAACTGTTTTTTAAGGGGGAGGGTAGTAGAGGGGCTACTCTTAAAAGTGCTCACAGGCTACTCCTGGCTCAGTGCTCGGGGGGTCTGGTGGTGCACGGCATGGCACCAGGGCTTCCGGTATGCCCAGCCTGATCTTGGTTACCGAGTTCTGTCTCTAGCCCCTGGCACTGAACCTTCCCTTTGTTTGGGGAGTGGAGCAAGGAGGGGGGCTCTGGGGGCCCACATGGTGACGCTTCGGGCTCACTCCTGGCTCTGCACTCAATGATCACTCTTGGCGGGACTTGGGGGCCCTCTATGGGGCCGGGGTTTAGCTGGGCTGGGCTGGCCATGTGCAAGGCCAGCACCCATAAGCCCTGGCCAGCTTCTCAGGCCCTGCTTGACAGCCGGTCAGCCCTGGAGCCTGCAGGGAGGCACCTGATGTCCCAGCAGGAAGCGGGGCTGGCTGCAGCACCCTAAGCCCCCACCACCCCACCAGCATTGCCTGTGAACGCAGTGACTGTGGACACACACACACACAAACACTCCGAGTCAGTCGCACTAGCCCACAGCCCAGAGGTTCCAGCTCAAGTCCTGCCTGCCCCACAAGCCCCCACCTCCCCAGCTTCCAGGTGCTTCTCAGACAAGAGGGCTTTGCACTAGGTCTTCCAGTCTCAGGAGCCTAGAGGTGGGCACAGGCCTGGCAGGTGTGACAGTCTAGATGGACTCCCTGCTGGGCCTGGTTGGGTCTGGTGGCCCCCAGCTGCCTCGGGCTGAGGTCTGTTGGGGAAGAGAGTGACCACGATGCCTTTCATGGCAGAGATGCCTGGGGGATGCCCTGAGCCAGGGGCGAGGACCCAGCACTCAGACTGGGAGCTGGACTGAGCCGAGCTGATCATGCAGCGGTGGCCTCAGTTTCCCTCATGTGTACAACAGGCATAAGGGACTCTCCCCCAGTGTCAGGCGCATAGGCGGTGAAGTACAGACCCGGGGCCCCCACCCGGGACAGGGGGTGGGCAGGGGCAAGGCGGCCTGCTCTGTGGGGGTCCCTCTTCCTCCTGGGTCCCCTGTCCTCACTTGGCGGGGGTGAGGTCTTCCTCACTAGCTCCGGGCCCCTCGAGGTGTGTGGCCGAGTCATGAGGTCTCAACGGACACCCGTGGGTCTTGGACCACCCCCATAAACCCCAACTCTGCTCAGTAGTCCTCACTCCCACTTACTGCCCCAACTCCCCCAGCCCCCGGGCACACACGCTCACTGGCTCACAGGTCACCTGCCGTGGCCTCTGACCTCAGTGACCCCCTGTGAGCGTGCACAGGCTGAGACTGGAGGGGGGGCACGTTTCACTACCCCCCCAACCTCCACGTGTATTGGTGCATTAATGCAGGAGGCACTGGTGGGTGGCCTGCCCCGCCAACACAGGGCAGGGGCTCCCTCCCAGACCACTCAGCAGAGAGGTTCATCCAGGCCACTGACAGCCTGGAGCTGCTGGCGACGGCCAGATGCAGCCAGCCTGCCCCAAAGGAAGGAGCCAGCCTGCCCCAAAGGAAGCACACCAGGCCAGAGTGATAGCAAAGTGGGCTGGGCGTTTGTCCTGCACACAGCTCACCAGGGTTCGATCCCTGGCACCCCACTGGATCCCCCGAGCACCACCAGGAGAGAGCCCTGAGTGCAGAGCTGGGGAGTAAGCCCTGAGCATCGCCAGGTGTGAGCCGAAGAGCAAACCCAAAACAAGCCCAGGGCTCACTGAGCCAGGAACACACCCATCGAACCTGCAGGTCCCCCAGGGCAGCGACTGGCCACCTGAGGCCAGACAGGACGGGACGGGACTGTGGGGTGGTGGGCAGCCTGGCAGAGACCCGGAGGCCCTAAAGCACCTCCCCCCCCCCCCCCCACCGAGATGCCCAGGCCCAGGGAGAGGACAAGCCGTGGGGCACGGGCAGTTCTCCAAGGGCTGCTTCTGCTGCACCGGGAAGGGACAGCGAGTCACGCCCCCGTCACCCAGTTCCATCTGTCCTCACCACAGTCAAGAGATGTGACACGCACCTCAACTGAACCTCAATGGCGCTGACCAACCTCCAAGCCGACAGCAAGGATGCACCCCCCCACCCCCCAGCGCACTGTGGGACACTCACCCAGACACACTGTCCAGGCTGGGAAATACACCTCAGTGCATCTGATTCTGAATCTAATGCACAAGTATGTTAACAAGTGAATTAAAGTCACACAGAGCATGTTCTTTGACTACTACATGAAAACCAAATCAGAAAAAAAAAAAAGACAGAAAACCCTCCCTCCCGAGGCTTGAAAATTCAACTATTTCTGAGTAACGTGTAGGTCAGAGAGGAAGTCATTAGGGAAAGAGGAACCTACTCTAAATAGAAAGAAAAAAAAAATACACACCATCGGGCAACACGTGTGGACCACAAATACAGCAGCGTGTAGAGGGAAATTTACAGTGTTAGATGATTATACAGGAAGAGAAGATGTCTCAATAGCTTAAAAACCAGGAAAAAGGGATAAAGCAGAAGAGGTAAGAAAGAAAACAAAAATCAAGGTAAAATCAATAAAACAGAGAGCTGATTCTTGAAAAGGATCAATATGATGGATCCACCTCTCTAAAGGCTAACCAAGAAATGAGGTCACGAGGGTCAGGAATATTGGGGTGACATCACTCCAGACCCCACAGCCGGGAGGTGTGTGATGAAGGGCTGTGAAGTGTGCTCAGCAGAAATGAGGAGACTGCATTGCTACTTTTTGCTACTTGTGAGTCTTCCGACAAGAGCGGCCACTCTGGGGGAGGGTGTGTTATGCAGGGGCCCCTCTGGGTGTCTGGGTGATAGCACAGTCCATCACAGCTTCCAAAGTAAAAAAAAAAAAAAAAATTAAAGGCTTCCAACCAGGAAAACTTCAGACCTGGTGGGTTCATTGGGAAACTGCAGCCTAACATTTAAGGAAAAGACAAAGACTTTTTTTTTTTTTTTTTTTTTTTTGCTTTTTGGGCCACACCCGGCGATGCTCAGGGGTTACTCCTGGCTTTGCACTCAGAAATCACTCCTAGTGGTGCTCGGGGGACCATATGGGATGCCCGGGATCAAACCCAGGTCGGCCGCATGCAAGGCAAACGCCCTACCCGCTGTGCTATTGCTCCAGCCCTGGGGAAAGACATTTAAGGGAAAAAATGAATTCCCGCTTCACGCACACTTTCCTGTCAAACAGGAAAGGAGACACATCTCACAGAGGGTTGTCTGAAGCCCGAATTTGGGCACAGATGCCCAAACTGACAACAGCCAGCAAAGACAGACCAAAGCCTCGGGCAGCATCTCCAGCAGATGCAGAGGAGAGGGTCTCCTCACGCAACCGGCAGACTGAAGCCAGTGGGACAGGAAAGGGGCAGGAAATCAGGCAGGAGAGAGGGATATACACCAGGAAAAGAAGAAATCAGGGACGTGAGAAGGACATACACCAGGAAAAGGGCAAGAAATCAGGCAAGAGAGAGGGCTATGGACCGGGAGGCACCGGGCTAGTGAATGCTGCATCAGGGAGGAGAGAGGACTGTACGGGGTCACCAAGCCCACTGGCTACTCACTGTCTTACAGAACGAGGACAATCGTGGCCAGGTGAGCCAGGCGTGTACCTGTCCCAAGATGGAGCCCACCACAGCTGGAGATGAGCTCGGAAGAGATGAACCGACCACAGACATGGAGACACAGAAAGGAAGAAACGGGCAGCTTGGCCGGCCACTGCCGCTCCACGACGCCAGCTTCTGGGTCGTTCCTGGGCCAAGCCAGACACATCCTACTGTGTGTGGCCAAGCGAGGTCCCTTTGGAGTGCGGTGCTGGCTCCCGCTGACGCAATCCCACCCAGAGCACTCTGGTTCTCGGGCTTCTCCAGCACTTACTTGGGGCTGACCTCAGTTTCCTCAGCGTCATAGCATCTATCCCGGCCCCCGGCACCCCCTCCCCTGGTCCTTGCCGGGCGGGAGGGAAGGACAGGCAGAGAACAGATGGATGTGGGGCTCTCACCAGCTGCAAAGGATCCATCCTAGGTGGCCCAGGGCCCGACCCCGGCACTGGGAGCCAAGAGGAGCAGGTAAGCAGGTCGGCCAGCAGCCCCCTGCCTGGGACAGAGAGGGGGCCACCACACCCTCATGAGACGGAGGAGATGAGGCCGCAGACACCGACGCCGTGGATGGAATGCGGGTCCACCCTGACCCTCCGACTACAGCTGCTGTGTCCAGAAACAGCCA